GATTTGAATAGGTCTCTTTGTGTTAGATTGTGTATGTGTATGTGAGCAGTTTTTTACTCGCCTATTTTTTTCTCAGTGCAAATATATCTATAGGTATCTGAGGGGTATTCTGTCTATGTATACATACTTCTGTGTGTGTATGTACATGTGGCAGGGTTCAAGTGAGTGCTAGCATGCTGGCATATACATAAGTGACTTTGAATCTGAGTCACTTATGTGTTTGTTTAACAGTGTTTGTATATGCGATGATATCAGTATGCCACTTTGTATATATCTGTGTTGTGAAAGTTTGAATATGTGAGGGGATTTGAATAATCAGATATATCAGGTCAATGGGTATATATGTGTCTGTGTTTGAGTGAAAAGTGTATTTGAGTAGGTTTGCCTGTGTATACCTGTTGGTGTTTGAGACTTCATTTGTGTGTGTATGTGTGTGTGTGTATGTTAGGGGAATTTAGAAATGTGGTTTTGTAGGCCATTGCATATGCGTGTGAGTGTGTGTCTAAATGTGTCTGTATCTATGAGCAATTCTCAGCCCTCTCATACCCAATGCCCTCTGTTATGTAACAGGTATTTTGTAACACTCCTTTACTATCTGGAAATGAAGTTCTTAGATAATCTCTGCACATGTAATTTCAAAAGAAAATCCATATAGCATTTTATACAATCTCCATATTGTATTAACTATTATACAAATAAATAAAAAGAAAGTGATTTGTAAGAAAATAATTTGTATTTCAATATGTAAATGCTTGGGTATGACACTCCCCAGGAGATTCAAGGAGGTAATTAGAGGCTCCTGACGGTTTATAATGAGTAACTATGGATTTGGGAGAAGGGAAACATCAGAGGCAGAAAGTGCAGGAAAATGACAAAGACCTCTGGGTGAGATTTTCTGAAATAGTGAATGACTCCAAGGAAGGTGCACTGCAAATATACAGTCTCCTCTTGACTTATATGACAGCCACATTCCTGGATAATTCAGGGTATGTTAAAACCAAGAGGAAAAAAATGGTGTTTAAGTCAGGCACGGTGGCTCACGCCTGTAATCCTGGCACTCTGGGAGGCTGAGGCGGGAGGATCGCTGGAGGCCAGGAGTTCAAGATTAGCCTGGGCAACATAGCGAGATCCCGTCTCGGAAAAAAAAAAAAAAATTAGCCAGGCGTAGTGGCGTGTGTCTGTAGTCCCAGCTACTCAGGAGGCTGAAGCAGGAGGATCGCTTGAGCCCAGAAGTTCGAGGCTGCAGTGAGCTATGATCGCGCCACTGCACTCCAGCCTAGGTGACAAAGCGAAACTTTGTGTCTAAAAAAAAAAAAAAAAAAAAAAAATAGTGTTTGTGTAATAGAGTTAGATTCTAGGCTCAGTTAGTTACAAGTCCAAATCCTAGGCGATGCGGGACCTACGTGGGCTGTGTAGGACTGCCTCGCCTATCGCTGGATGGCCAGCGTCCTCGCCCTGGACCTGTAAATGTCAGAGGGACACCCTACACCCCTCCGCGTAGCAACCAAAAATGCTCCTACGGATTTCCAAACTGTCCCCTAGGGGGCAGTAGCGCCTTTGTTCGGGACGAAGCGCTGGTGCTTAGGCAGGGTACACCGTGTCCCTGCGTGAACACGACAGAGTACAAGATGTCCCTCCACCTCCGTGCGTGTGCGCGTGTGTGTCCCCCACGTGCGAGCTGGCTGCTGGCCTTGAGTCTCCGTGGCAGTGGGCTGTGTGTGCGTGGGCGCCAGGGGCCTGCAGGTGTCTGGGAACGAGCAGCTGTGCGTGTGTCGTGTGTCGTGTTCCTGCGCACACAGCCTCCCCCGCAGCTGGGGCCCGGCTCCGGCCTCCGGGCTGACGGGGAGAGCCCTCGCCTCCCTTGCTTATAGAGTCCAGCTTTCCCAGCCACACCAGGGTTTTGTTTGTTTGCTGCTATTGTTTTTTTTGGGGGGGGGGTTGTTTTGTTTTAACTTTAGCTTTTGTTTTCACTGAGACTCTGGGCTACACATTATCCACCTTCTCGGTCTTAGTGTGTCTCTCTGTGTCTCCCTCTCTATCTCCATCTTTATTTCCGTCTCTGTCTCTGTCTCTCTCCAGCTCCCCTGTCTCGCATGCCCCGCCCCCACCCCGTCTCTCTTTTTCTTTCTTTCTTCCCTGGCATTATCCCTCTCTCCCGCCCCTCTCCTTTTTCTCTCTGTTTCTCTCTATCTTTGCCTATTTCTGTCCCTTCTCTGTGTGTTGTGCTGTTTCTCTGTGTGTGGCTGTTTTTTCTCACTCTCATTTTCTCTCTTTTCCCCTTTTCTGCCTCTATTTCTCTTTCTTCCTCTCTGTATGTAAAGCTTTCTCCCCTTTCCCTGTTTTTCTTTCTCTTTCTCCCTCTTATGTCTCCATCTGTCTCTCACACGCACATCTTTCCTCTGTTACTCTCTGTATGTCTCTCTCTTAAATTCAGTCTCTGTCTCTGTCCCTCCTCGCCCCACCTCCCCTCCAGGCAAAGGAGTGGGGGCGGGGCGCGCCTGCGCACACACGGCATGGGCTGGTCCGCAGTTCTGAGGGCGCTGTCAGGCCTTAAGGGGCTGAAGGAGGGCCCACCATCCCCACTTCTCCTCCTCGGCACCTGTCCTAGCACCCTCTCGTGGACTACTGGCACAGGCTCTGGGACTTCAGGGTGCCCATCAAAAAAGCCTGGCCCCAGGTGGTGGTGGCAAGCCAGGTTGGATTGAGCTGGGAAACTGTTCCTGGGAGGGAGGGAGTAGGAAGACCTGGGCTCAAGTCCCACCTACCGGGCCCCGGCCCTAACAGTGATCCTGAGTCTCCAGCTTCTGCTCCAGTTGCCCCACTGCCTTCCCTCTGGGACCTGCCCTGTTACCTTATCACATCCCCACATTCCCGAGCTCTCCTGTTCCCCCCACCAAGCTTTGCTGTGCTGCTCTCACGGCCAGATGCACCCCTCAGGCCCCTCTTTCAGCAAATCCTGCCTGGATGTCTCCGAGGAGCCCTCTCTGACCCCTCAGCCCATTTTGTCCCTCAATTCAACATATTATCACTGAGAGCTACCGTGTACGTGCTATGCGGTGCTCTTCTAGAGAAGTGTGTGAGTCTATTATCCCTGCCCCCATGGAGCTTTTGTTCTATTAGGATGAGGCAGGCAGTAAACCAAATGTTAAAAGTAAACTATGTTATGCATTAGAAAAGAGAAGGTCCACGAAGAAAACTAAAAGAGGGAAAGGGGTGTAGGGTGCCATCTCCTCTCAGCTGGATTGCTGCAGGAGCCTCCGGAGCAGTCGCCCCACTTCTACCTGTGACCCACGTGATCCGTGCTCCACACAGCAGCAAGTGGAATCCTGTTCAATCCTAAGTAATATCACTTCTGGCCTCTGCTCAAAACCCTTCTGTGATTCCCATTTCATTCCAAAGAAAAGTTCAAGTCCTCACCTTGGCCTCCATGATCTGGCCTCGCCATCTTTCTGACCTCACTGCCACCACTTTCCCCTCGCTCACTCTGTTCCACCCACCCTCCTTGTTCTTCCTCAAATACGCCATGTGCACCAGTCCCCAACCTTTTTCACACCAGGGACCGGTTTCATGGAAGACAATTTTTTCACTGACTGGGGGTGGTGGCTGGGGTGTTGTGGGGTGGGGCATGGTGCGGAGCTCAGGTGGCAATGGGCGGCCCCCTTCCTTAGAGGCCACGAACCGGTACCAGGCCGTGCCCTGGGGGTTGGGGACCACAGTGTATGGGTCCACCTCAGGGCCTTGGCTCTGTCTGTTCCCCTGCCTGGACTTCTCTTCCCCCAGATATCCACATGCCTCACTCTTTCACCTCCTTCAGGTATTCGATCAGGATGACTCCTCCTCCATGAAGCTTTTTGTGTCCACCTCATCTAAAACTGCAACATCTTCCCCACCCCTAGCACTTCCTATCCCCTTCCCTCCTTGATGTTTACTCTTAGGAACTTATCATCCTCCGATGGACTATACGTCCCCTGTGTCTCTTCTTTATTATCTAGAATGTCAGCTCCACAAAGGCCAGGATCTTTATCTGTCTGGTTCAGAGCTGTATCTCCAGTTCTAGAACAGTGCCTGGTGCACAGTAAATGCTCAGTAAATATTATTTCAGTGCATGACTGAATACGCACAAGCATACCTACATCTTTATAGTCATACTCCCCACCTCACCTAAAATAAAAACCAAAAGCCTCACGCTGGCCCACAGCCTTGGACACTTCTGCAACCTCTTCTCCTACCACTGTCTCCCTCACTTGCACAGTTCTGGCCACATTGGTCTTCCCGATGTTCCTTGAGCATACTAAGCACACTCCTGATTATGAATAAATGAATCTATTTAATGAGTGGCTACCAGCATTTTAAGAAAACACAAAGAATAGAAATGAATGGGGCACATTACACATAGGATCTACTGTTTTGTGAAACTTTCGGCTGAGCTGTGTGTGCATGTGTGTGTATGTGTACTGGGTTGTGACGTAAAATGTATTTTTTCCTATGGTCAAAAAAGTCTAAACACAACCTTAGGGCTTTGCAAAGGGGGAGAAGAGCTGGGGCAGCAACATCCCTGCCCCACAGACCCACCAATGGAGGAAGCAGGTAACCAAGGACATCCAGAGAGCTGAAGCGTCCTCACCCGGCAAGGAGGGGTAGGTGCAGCAGTGGTCCAGGGACAGGGCCTGACACCAGCCGGGGAGTAAGTGGGCAGGGCTCGTAGACACACTAACCCTGCCCTTTCTGTTTCTTCCTCACCTTTCCTCTCCATCTGTTTTTCACTGTCTCTCTCCTGTCGGTCTGTGTCTCTCTCTTCTCTCTCTCTCCTCACTCTTTCTCATCCCCTCCATTTTTGTGTCAATTTCTACCCATTTATATCCTTGTTGCCATTTTTCTATCTCTTTGTTCTCTCTCTCCCACTCTGTCTCTGTGTGTCTGTGTGTGTTTTTCTGTCTCTCTTCTGCCCTCATCTCTCTGTCTCTCTGTGTCTGTGTCTCCCCCATTGTCCCCATTTGCAGGTGCAGCACAGCAGGACGACTGATGGAGCCCCCCAGGGCCCATCGAGTACCGGACTGGCTGACCCCATAGGGTGGCCAGTAGCCCCTGCCCCTCAGTATGGCCAACACCACCGGAGAGCCCGAGGAGGTGAGCGGCGCACTGTCCCCACCGTCAGCATCGGCTTATGTGAAGCTGGTGCTGCTGGGACTGATCATGTGCGTGAGCCTGGCGGGCAACGCCATCTTGTCCCTGCTGGTGCTCAAGGAGCGTGCCCTGCACAAGGCTCCTTACTACTTTCTGCTGGACTTGTGCCTGGCTGATGGCATACGCTCTGCCGTCTGCTTCCCTTTTGTGCTGGCTTCTGTGCGTCACGGCTCCTCATGGACCTTCAGTGCACTCAGCTGCAAGATCGTGGCCTTCATGGCTGTGCTCTTTTGCTTCCATGCGGCCTTCATGCTGTTCTGCATCAGCGTCACCCGCTATATGGCCATCGCCCACCACCGCTTCTACGCCAAGCGCATGACACTGTGGACATGTGCAGCTGTTATCTGCATGGCCTGGACCTTGTCTGTGGCCATGGCCTTCCCACCTGTCTTCGATGTGGGTACCTACAAGTTTATCCGGGAGGAGGACCAGTGCATCTTTGAGCATCGCTACTTCAAGGCCAATGACACGCTGGGCTTCATGCTCATGTTGGCTGTGCTCATGGCAGCCACACATGCTGTCTATGGCAAGCTGCTCCTCTTCGAGTATCGTCACCGCAAGATGAAGCCAGTGCAGATGGTACCAGCCATCAGCCAGAACTGGACATTCCATGGCCCTGGGGCCACCGGCCAGGCTGCTGCCAACTGGATCGCCGGCTTTGGCCGTGGGCCCATGCCACCAACCCTGCTGGGTATCCGGCAGAATGGGCATGCGGCCAGCCGGCGGCTGCTGGGCATGGACGAGGTCAAGGGTGAAAAGCAGCTGGGCCGCATGTTCTACGCGATCACACTGCTCTTCCTGCTCCTCTGGTCACCCTACATTGTGGCCTGCTACTGGCGAGTATTTGTGAAAGCCTGTGCCGTGCCCCACCGCTACTTGGCCACTGCCGTTTGGATGAGCTTCGCCCAGGCTGCTGTCAACCCGATCGTCTGCTTCCTGCTCAACAAGGACCTCAAGAAGTGCCTGAGGACTCATGCCCCATGCTGGGGCACAGGAGGTGCCCCGGCTCCCAGAGAACCCTACTGTGTCATGTGAAACAGGCTGGTAGGCAGACAGGCAGGGAGAAGGTCATGGCCACCATGATGGGGCCGACAGCAAGGGAGGCGTGGGGCCCCATATAGGAGGCTTCCTTTCTGATCTCCAGCCCCAGCCCCTCTAACCACCTGTAATCTAGGCACCTTGGCCAACATCTCCCCGGGGTGGGGACTGGGAAAGAGGCGTTTTTAGTTTTGTGGGGCCTGTCTCTGCCGCCTCCTTCTCCACTTCTACAATCTCATGTTCTCTCTCTTTCTTTCTTTCTCTCTCTCAGAAGTGACAATTCAGAAAAAGAAAACAAAACTGGGAATGCAGGTTTTTCTACTAACAGCTGAGGAGACAGGCTTTCTTGCTTTAATGTCTCTCCTTCTGACATTGTCCAGAAGGGGGAAATTTGTCCTGTAAAATAGACTTCCAGAGCTCTTATTGCTCCCTCTGCTCCCAGGCACCCTCCTCTTCCAAGTCCTTTAGCAAGGCCTGGATGTTTAGGGAGAAATTGATCCAAGGCTGCTGACACAGGGACCAAAGGGGGTGCTGGGTCCCCAGGGAGCAGGGATGTTTACTTGCTACGTTGTGTACAATGTTGTTTTAGGCCAACTTTGGTCCCAAGCCCAGTCTCCTCTTCTTCCCCACCGTGTCCAGACCTCCCGAGTGGTTCTCGTGCATCTGTTGGAGAAGCTGAGAGGGTAGGGAGATGGGCCCCCAGTATGGGCCCAGGCTAGGTGAAAAGCAGGATGTGAGCTGAACTCCTCAAGCTAAAGAGACCTGAGCTTGGCCTCATTCTCTCATGCTGCTTTCTGGATCCCTGACCCCCAACTCTTCTTCCTGAGGATGGAAATCCATTTCAGCCCTGCTAGGGCTGATGTGGGTACCATACAGGCAGGAGCAGCCCCCCAAGGAAGTGTAGTGAGGCCACCAAACTCCCCAGAGTAACCAGACCACAGAGCCTCGAGTCAGAGCTAAAGTCAACCCGAAATTTCCTCCTGGGTCCACACTACTCTTCAGAAGATGAAAATTCTTTTTTGGCCTTGGTAACTGATTAACTGATAGTGGTACAAACTCCAAGGTACTGTGGTCTCTAGTCCATCCCTATCCAACCTCTTTTTGTCCCCCTCAAGCCTCAGGGGCCTCAAGCCCCTCCTTGGTAGCTCTCCACCTTCTGGGCCCTCAGACCCAAACATTCTTCCTCCCAACAGCCCCTCCCCCTTTCTCCCTCCGTCCTTACCTACACTCAAAGTGGAGCAGACTGCAGCCAGATTTTCTGGTGGGAGATCGCAAGCTTCCCTCCCTGGGGCAGAGTCCACTCTGGGCGTACTTCAAGGCCAAGGCCATTGGTGAGCCAAGCTGGTGCTCCTTTGCCTGGGCTTGCCCAAGCTTTCTGCCCCCTCTCATTTCCTGCAAAGGGGGTGGGTTCTGTATTTATCCACCCCCACTTCCCCTTCTCAACAGTAGCCCTTGTGTCAAGCTCCCTCCCTACCCCAAGACAGCCCCAGAATGGGAGAAGCCTCACCCAAAAGGAATGGGGATGGCACTCGGCACGAGGCAGGAGAAACATTAATGAGCCTGGCTGCATAGTGGCCTTGGAAAGGCAGGCCAGAGTGGCTGAGAGGCCGGGAGTGGGGGGACCTGTTCTCTCAGTGATAGTGATGGGGGTGCCTTTCCGAGGGAGTGGGGTGGGAAGACCAAGGGGGCGGGGGGTAAATAGGGTACATTCAGGAGAGTTTTCCTCCGTTTCTTTTTTCTAACTGCCTGGATTCACCATTGGATTTTGTAAATGGAAAAACTGAAATGAACAATGCTATATTGGATGTTTTCTCTTTCTGACTGTGTGTGTGTGTCTGTGTCTGCGTGTCCTGTCTGTGTGACCACATGTGGGGAGGTATGATTGCAACAGCGTGTGTCTGTGTAACTTTGTGTGGGGAGGCACCTCTGAGGAAAACGTGCCTGGTGCACACATCTGAGCAAATGCCTGTATGTGGAAACATATACTGCACATGCACATGCACACATGCACGCACGCACCTAGCTGAGAGAAGACAAACGAGTATGTACCTGCAGCAGGAAGAAGAGCGGTGGTCAGGAGATGGAACTTGGAAACGGTAGGTATGTATGTAGCAAGAGGGTAGACTCCCATCTCCTAAGATCGCTGCCCTTGGCCTAGGCTCTGAGCACGGGAAGGGGGCAGGGAACTTGAGAACCTCATCTCCTCCCAAAGCTTGGAGCCCCAGGTACCACTCCTAACACTGGTCTCAGTCTCCTTCCCAAGTTCAAACAAGATGTTCCTGAAATTGGACATCAATGGGGGACTGGGAATTGGGGATCAAATGTGGGGGGAACTGATGTGGTTAGGAAATGCCTCTCACAAAGTAACGGCTTCCGGAGGGACTGCTCAGCCTGGGATGGGAGCCCTTCCTAAGGGTCCACTGTATACAGCTGGGACTTTGGTCAGCTTTGACCAAAATCAGAGGGAGGGGTATCACGGGGGGAAAAAAAAACACCCAAGCCTGGGAGTCTACCCAGCCAGCCTGCTCCCTGGGCACTCAATTAATTTATTATCTATTTATTTATTCTCTCAGGTGCACAGAATTGAGTTTATTTATTCCTCAGTTCTTGGCACACTGTATCATCATTGGTCCATGTGAGGCCCTTTTATTCTTTCTTTTGTTTCGTTTTGTCCCCTTCATCACCCATCCCTGATCCCATCCCCTGCCACAAAGGCACCCACTCTCGTGTATTTAACGTATGTCCTTCCAATCCACCGTTCATGTGTTTATTTACATATATGTGTATCTACGAAAATTATATGGTATTGTTATGTGTTTTAATTTACATAAACAGTATTGTACTAAATCTTGTTCTGTTTCTTTTTTCACTCAAACATTCTGTTTTTGAGAGATCCAGCCATGTCGCCGTATACAGATCTAATTCATTCCGGTGGACCATCTTAAACATATATCACCCTTTTCTTATCCTTTCCCCTGGTGATGGATCCCTAGGTTGTCTCCAATTCTCTGCCACCACAAATGGCTGCTATGGGCAGTTACCTACACCTCTCTTTAGGGATCCCTAAGTTGGAGGACAGGAAGCTGAAGCTCAGAGAGGGGCAGTGATTTGGTTAGGGTTACAAAGTGAGGGGCACACCCGTGGCGTGAATCCCAGAACCAACACCAGACCTCCACTACCATGCCTCATAAAAGACCATCCATCTTGTTTTTTCTTTAAAAAAAATCTTAAAATACGATTAAGAACAGCATACACTTGAGGAAAAGGGTGAGGAAAGGATGGAAAATGGAAAGGAGGAGAAATGTTCAGTACCTGAAGACATAGAAGGTCCTAGAAAAATCTAGCAGATGAGCTGAATGACACTCTTTTTTATGACGCAGAGGAATTTACTTTTTTGGTGCGTGATTATTATTTCTAGAGCCATTTTGCGGAGATGGAAAACGCCACGTCAAAACCTAGCCCCCAAACCAAACGCCCTGGGTGCCTAAATAGCAGGCGCGCATAGAGTGGCGCCAGCCCTCCGGGGCTACAGCAGAGCTCGCCCCCCAGGCAGAAGCAGGGGTGGGGGAAGGGGCCGATTTTAAAAGTGCGTAGTTGCTGAGGGGAGGGGGGCGGGGGAAATGATAGCGAGGCTCTCCCAATTTTATTCGAGCACATTCTGCTCAGCGCCTGCGTTTGTTTTTCGTCTTGTTTTTCGGTCTTCAGAACCACTGGTACTTTTCCCATTGGATAAAACGCTGCAAGGGTAAGGGAGAGGTGCTTCGCTCCCTTAGCTTTCCTCGCAGCCAATCGCCCTGCAGACTCCCTCTCATCGCTGGGGGAGTCAGCCCTTTGATTGGCGGCTCCGACGGGAGCCAATCGGAAAGTGATGATGTGTAGTGTTGGCAAGCAGATTGCGTGAGAGCGGGCAGGGGTCGAGGGAGGGCGAGCGCCGCCGCGGCAGCCGTCAGCCAATGGCGAGGCAGATAGGCCCCTTGCGTCAGGGAGTGGGCGGGACCTTGGCGCTTGGCGCGGAGGGAGTAGGGCAGGCGCTGTGGGAGGGAACGCCAGAGCGAGGCGGTCAGCGGAGCTAGTCGCGTGAGTCGCGGCGGCTCAGCTTTGAGTGTGCCTGGCAGCGGCGGCCCGGCGGAGAGCGAAGGGGCGAGTGCCATCCCCTGAGCTATCACCATGGATCGCCCGGATGAGGGGCCTCCGGCCAAGACCCGTCGCCTGAGCAACTCTGAGCCGCCTCAGCGCAATCCGCCGCCGCCGCCGCCGCCGCCGCTCCTGCGACTGCCCCTGCCTCCACCCGAGCAGCGCCCAAGGCTCCGGGAGGAAACCGAGGCGGCACAGGTGCTGGCTGACATGAGGGGGGTGGGCTTGGGCCCCACGCTGCCCCCGCCGATGCCCTATATCATTCTCGAGGAGGGGGGGATCCGCGCGTACTTCACCCTGGGTTCTGGGGGTCCCGACTGGGATTCTACTATCGAGTCAGGGTACGGGGAGGCCCCCCCTCCCGTGGAGAGCCTGGATATACTCCCCCCTGCTGAGGTCTCTGGGGAAAGCCTGGAAATCGACTTTCAGGTTGTGGATCCCAGCAGCCCTGTTGGAGAGAAGGTCCTAGAAACCTGTAGCGTAGAGGGGTGGGGGCCCCAGAGGTTAGTCGGTCCAAAGAACAGGCAAGAGGCTGTCATCCTAGTGGAAGATGATGATGAGGATGAACAGGAAGGTTTGAGGAGCAGCAGGAGGAGGAGGAGGAGGAGGAGGAGGAGGAGGCAGAGGAAAATGAAGGAGAGCAAAGAGAGGAATTCCGAGAGGATGGAGAGCATCCTGCAGGCGCTGGAGAATATTCAGCTGGACCTGGAGGCTGTTAACATCAAGGCAGGCAAGGCCTTCCTGCGTCTCAAGCGCAAGTTCATCCAGATGCGAAGACCCTTCCTGGAGCGCAGAGACCTCATCATCCAGCATATCCCGGGCTTCTGGGTCAAAGCAGTATCCTCCTCATCGATACTCATGGGCTAGAAGCCCATGAGGGGAATGGGGAGGTGGAGGGAGGGACAGAAAGGGTGGAAGGGTGTGGGGGAGGGCCAACGGTGGGGGCGGGCCCCCTATCAAAAGACTGCCTGGACTGGCTGGAGAAGGGCAAAACAGCAGAGAAGCTGGACTGGAGACGATGAAGGGGGGAAGGAGGCACACAGTACAAAAACTGGACCACAGATGGGAAATGGGGGAGAGGAGGAGCATTGCATAAAAAATGGATCTCAGATGGCGAAAGGGGGAGGGTAGGAGAGGGGCACACTGCAGAAAAATTGGACCAGAGAAGGTGAAAGGAGGGGAGGGGCACACAGAAGATGAACTGACTCAGAGACAGTGAAGAGGGAGGGGAATGGTACACAGCAGAGAAACTGCCAGAGAGGATGCCTAAGCCATAGGGCTCTGTAAGCCTAGGTCTCTGCTTAGACATTAGGAGACCCCAATCCTGGCTGAGTGACCTGCTTTAGGGGGAAGGGGGCTAGAGAGGGGCTCAAGCCCCTGAAGTGTCAGGAGAGGGAGTATCTGGCATGGAGATTAAGGAGTTAAATGAAGGAAAGGGGAGAGTAGGAAGAATCTCATTCACTAATGGTGATTATTAAGCTTATCTCTGGGGGGCACATGTACATACATGTCACATGTTAGGAACACATGAGTTTAACATCCTAACAGAATTACATGGATACAGATCCTTGGCACCCTCATACAAAGAAGCATATGATAACAGGCTCTCAGCACCTAGGAACATGCTATCATGTAGACATAGGACCTCAGCATGCAGACACACAGCATCACTTGGACACAAGTCCTCATTCACGCAACAATATGTGGACACAGACCCTCCACACCCACACATACAATATCATGTGACCACAGGCCCTCGGTAACCAGATACAACATCACTTGGACACGGGCCTTCAGCACCCAGACATACAGCATTTTGTGAACACAAGCCCTCAGTACCCAGAGACAAATATCACATGGACATAGACCCTCAGCACCCAGCAGAGCCACCTAACACAGAGGTTTATCATGGGAATAAAAGTATAGGTCATGTCCCATGACCCACTTGTTCCACACACATCATATGAACACAGAGGGAATCCTGTTCCAGCCTCTCTTTTGTTTTGCTCTGCCCGATCTTACCTGCCTTCCTTTCACTGGATAGTCAATCCTTGACCTAAACTGCTCCACTCATCAGTTCCTCAACCACCCCAGAATTTCAATCTTGATCAACCGACGTGATGAAGACATTTTCCGCTACTTGACCAATCTGCAGGTCAGGCCAAAGAGACATTTGTTAGTAGGACCGGGCAAGGAATCCGGTCTTTGGAGGTGAGGGGGGAAAGGTCATGGGGTGGGGGGGACAGATTCTACCATCACCCCCACCCTGAGCAGGTACAGGATCTAAGACACATCTCCATGGGCTACAAAATGAAGCTGTACTTCCAGACAAACCCCTACTTCACAAACATGGTGATTGTCAAGGAGTTCCAGCGCAACCGCTCGGGTAAGAGGCAGTCCCAGGGTAAATCTGTGCCCCCTGCCAATCTATCCTTGTTCAGCCCCCTCTTAATAGTCTCTTCTTCCACCAGGCCGGCTGGTGTCTCACTCCACCCCGATCCGCTGGCACCGGGGCCAGGAACCCCAGGCCCACAGGCATGGGAACCAGGATACCAGCCACAGCTTCTTCAGCTGGTTCTCAAACCACAGCCTCCCAGAGGCTGACAGGATTGCTGAGGTGGGGCCTTTCCTGGCATCACCGGAAAAGGCCTTCCTAGGCTTGTCCCTGGGTGCCCAGGAAATTGGGAGTAGGGTCTGGGCTGGGGCTTGTATTTATGGCTCTGTTCTCCTTTCCCCCCCTCTTTCAACAGATTATCAAGAATGACCTGTGGGTCAACCCTTTACGCTACTACATGATGAGAGAAGGAGGCTACAGGACAAACAGAAAGAAGCAAGAAGAGAAGAAAAGGTGATGGGGGTTTAGTGGCTGAGAGGTAGTTTGTTGAGGTTCGGGCAAAGACTAGACTAGTGTCACACAGGATTTATGGAGCCAATCCAGTGCAGTATGTTTTACAAGGGGGCAACAATGTCCAGAAATGGCCTGAGGTTACACAGGGGCAGAAATGGGACTCTTTCCACCCTAGCCTCTCCCCTGGGAACCCTTATAGTCTACTCCCTGCCCAGTTACTTACCACCTTTCAGTGTCTGCCATGGGTATACCCCTTCCCACCAACCCCATACTCAGCCCCAGGCTTTCCTACAGTAAAAACAAGAATCAATGTGAAGTGGTGATCGTGGAAGATGCTTATGACTGTTATGCAGTGGAAGACATTTTCAGCGAGATCTCAGACCTTGATGAGACCATTCATGACATCAAGATCTCTGACTTCATGGAGACCACCGACTACTTTGAGACCACTGACAATGAGATAACTGACATCAATGAGAACGTCTGTGACAATGAGAGCCCTGACCACAATGAGGTCCCCAACAATGAGACCACTGATAACAAGAAGAGTGCTGATGACAACGACACCACTTATAACAATGAGAATGCCAGTGACAACAATGAGAACCCTGAAGACAATAACAAGAACACCAATGACAATGAAGAGAACCCTGATGACAACAATGAGAATGCTGATGGTGACAACAAGAACCTCAGAGGTGGCAACCAGGGCAGCATTGGCAACAACCAGGACAGCAGTGACAGTGACAACGGAGATGAGGGCAGTGATGATGAAGATAATGATGGCAACGAAGGTGACAACGAAGGCAGTGATGATGACGGCAATGAAGGTGACAATGAAGGCAGTGATGACGACGACAGAG